AGCTGATGAATTGAGTTTGGCTCGTGTCATTGAGTTGACTTTGAACTACCTCCGTCACATTGTGTTGACCTAGGATTTCAGATCACTGTATGTTGACTTTTTGCCACAACGCGTTGACTGGGGTTGACCTAGGGTTACGCGTTGACCGGCGTTGACCCTAGGGTTTCGAACGTCGAATATTGTTTTTTGGTCGCAACGCGTTGACTGGCGTTGACCTAGGGTTACGCGTTGACCGGCGTTGACCCTAGGGTTTCGAATCAACCTGAGGAGAACCAGTTTATACTCGTGTACTCCTGGGAGTTTCGGGAATTAGTTTAGCCTCGTGTACCCGTCGGAGGTTGACGGGTTATCCTTAAGAATATTATACATAATATTCTCTAGGAACTTCCCGTCCATTGTGAAAAATAGTTTGGACTCGTATTCTCATTGGAGTGTAGATACGAGTGTTGAATACGTCGTAAAAATATCCTAGAAAAGGATCAAAGTGTATATAAATTATCCCCAAGTCTTTCTACACGTTCGGGCCAACACTTCGCACCTCATACGCGTGTGAACCATCAAAAAAATGATTTAATCCGGTCCGGTCCGGTTCATATAGGTTCGGTTTACTTGGGTCCGGTTCACTTGGGTTTGGTTCGGGTCAAGTGGATTTGGTCTATGTGGGTTTGGTTCGGGTCAAGTGGATTTGGTCCAACCAAAAAATAATCCCCATTACAAACCCAATCTCCTCTTTCTTTTCTTTCCTCTCTTCTTTTCTTTCCTCTCTTCATTTCCAGCAACCCGTCCCCATTTTTTTTCTCTTTTCTTTTTTTTTGTTCGGTCCCCAGCAAGAGGAAACCACCTCCCCCCTTTTTCGGTTTTGAGCTCTCCTCTTTCCTCAAGAGCTCTCCCTCATCAAGCCTTTAACCCATCTTCTTCAAGGTTTTCCACCTCTTCTTCTCCAAGGATTCAAGCAAGGCAAGTTGGGTTTAGAGGATTTTGGGCTTCATCATCCTTACTCCTCCAAACTTTGGTAAGAACTTCTCATCCTCTCAACTTCAATTTGATTTCCCCTTTTTTTGAATTCTTCAAAATCCAAAACCCTAGTTTATTGATTTGGGGGAAAAAATCAAATTTTGATTCTTGGTTCTTGAAAGTTGGCCGAAATTGGAAGGTGAGTTCTTTCATCTTTGATTGCAAAATACTTTTTTTTTTCATGCATACATATGGCCGAAATTTTATGTGGGTTTATATACAAATTTTGATGAAATTTGAGGGTTTTTTTTTTGTGGGAAAAGATGGACTGAATTTGAAGGGTATATGTGCAAACATGAGGCCGAAACTTGAGGGGGTTATTTGCAAAAGAGGGCTACCATTTGAGGGGGTTATTTGCAAAAGAGCAATCCACAAAGTATAGGGGGGCTTATTTGCAAAAGGGCTGGAATTTTGAGGCTTGGATGTTTGACACAATTGGCCACAACTTTGAGGTGTGCTTCATGCAAAGAGATCACAAATTGTTGAGGGTTTATTTACAAAATTGCCCATAAATGTTTTAGAGGGACTTATTTGCAAAAAGGGCAGAAAATCCAAGGCTGAAAACCAAGAAGTTTAGACCACAAAACTACGATCAAAGTTTTGTGAAAACCAAACCGAAATTTGTGGAGGGTTTTTTTTGCAAAATTGGCTAGATTTTACAAAAGGATTTATTTGCAAGATTAACCAAAATTGTGGGGTACTAGGAGTGCTATGTGATCATGTATGATGACCATGACCCAACTCGAGCGTGTCCTTGACCCGAATTTAGCCTTGAACACGAAGGGTATTCTGGGTATTTCATCAAAATTTACCGCGAAAATGACAATTATTGTTTCGCATGCGCGAAATTTGTAGGTTTAATTAGACTTCAACTATAAAATCCTATTTATACACAGGATTTTAATTAAAGCTCTTAATTTCCCTTTTAAATTTCGCGTATTCATACTTTAGATTGTATCTGACTTGCTGCTTTTCATTGCAGGTTTCCGATGCCTCCACGCCGATCTCGACTTCCTAGGAGTCGATCCCATTCGCAGCCTAGCGAGGAAGAAGTTCCCGCAGCATCCTCCCCTCCAGCAGCTTTCTTTTTTGGGGGTGGGAATTTTTTTTATTTTTGTATCCCCGATTGATCCCTTCGCGGGTCATGAAGGAAGAACTGACACCCTCCTTCGCGGGGGTCGAGGTTTCGGACTTGGTGGTTCTGTTATACCCTCGTTTGGCCCCTTCGGGGGTCATTCGGGAAGGGCTGACACCCTCCTTCGCGGGGGTCGAGGTTTCAGACTTGGTGGTTTTGTCATACCCTCGTTTGGCCCCTTCGCGGGTCATTCGGGAAGGGCCGACATCCTCCTTCGCGGGGGTCGAGGTTTCGGACTTGCCTTGCTTGGCTAATTCAAGTCTTCTGGTATATTGGGGCGATTTTGTGTCGTCCTACACCTTATAGGTCGGTGTATGTTACCACGTTATTTACGTGATGATGCATACCGTTCTTCCAGTGTAGGACACTCAAAATCGTCTCTCCAATTATCCCGTGACTGATCTTATCTCGCTTTTTATGAGCTTTCTGACTCTATCCTTGTGTTTTGTTGCAGTCGAGTTCCCCGCGGGCAGCCTTCCTCCTCATGCTAATACTGGTTGTAGCCGGGAGGTCTTCTCTTCAGCTTCCATCAGGCAGGCCGTTAGTCCACTCCCTCAGTTTGACAGAGATCGCTCCGACGAATCCTGTCGTTTGATACGGGATGGAGGGCGTCATTGCTTACGCCAGCTGATTACGGACGCCTCCTTCACTGCAGATTCTACTTCCACTCAGACTTTAAAGAAGCCTGGTTTTCTGTTCGAGGATCACGCGGAGGATCCTGCTACGTTGACTCTTACCGAGGAGCATTGGCTGAATCTTCATGAGGGAGCTCTCCTGTATATTCCCTCCATTCCTCGTCAATATTCTTTCACCTATTTGGAGGGACAGGCCGTGGAGCGACATATGTCTTGGCCTCTTACCTATGATGCTGAGCGAGTTCAGTGTGAATATACCTCTCATTATAAGATTCCCGGTTCTACTGGGTATCATGATATCCGTGGTCTTCGACCAGGGATTATGGGTCTTGACACTGCACCCCCAGGGGAGGTATCAGCAACTGCTCCTACTGTGAAGAATCGTCTGGCTCATCTTGGGAGAAGGTTACCTCCACCAGATTACAGATGCTATGGTTGGGCTTTCTCACAAGCCAAGGGATGGTGGACACGCATGACCAGTTACGTCTTGGGGCGCTGGGAGAAGGATTTGAAGAGCAGAGGATTGTATGCACCTATACGGGCCACCATGTACGGACTTCCGGTCAGCTGCCGCCATTTCTTGGCGTTGTTGGAGACATACATGCCCGACAGTAACACGTTCATGACCAGCGGCGGAGAGTTAGGGTTGGCCTTACATGAGATGTATCAGGTTTCTGGTCTTCCAATGGGGGATTGTCCATATCAGGAGTACTTTCCCTCGAACCAGCAGTTGGGGTGGTTGAAGAAGGATACTCCCGACATGCATGATACTCTTTGGGACATCACTTGTCATTATTATACCTCCTTGATCAAGATTTCTCCTCCAGCGAAGAAGAAAAGGCAAATCAGCTTGAAGCAGTTTGCTGTCTATCTGTTCCCTAATTTGGAGGGTGACTCCGGCGAGCCCCTTCGTGAGTTAGATGTCCTGACCCCTACCGTCATTAATGAGTTGATGGAGAAGGCTAAGGCTCATTCTTACACCATTGCCCGTGTTGAGGGAGCTTTTCCTGCAGGAACCAAGTTTCGTTCGTTCTTCCGCCGTGCACAGAAGTCCATCGAGCCCCGGACTCTGCTAGCAGGCTACATTGCCCTCTGGTTGAAGAAGTGTGTTGTTCCGTACCGGTCTTTAGACGCCTTACCTCTCGAGGTGCTCTTCCCCGCAGTTCAGCTAGCTTATGGGAGGGAGCTTTCACTGCTCCCAGCGATGGTTGCCGGCATCCATTGCGGGCTTAGGTATCTGGTCAGTGGTTTTACACGGGTGGGTTCTAAACCATCGACCGAGCTTACTTGTCCGAAGGTCGAGCTTCCTTATGCGTATCTGATGGCGTGGCTCGTTCTTCACCGTCCTGACTTGATGTCGGCGCCCAGCGTTGTTGATGTCCCCGTTCCTTTCGTGCAGCTGTTGGAGAGGAGCAGATGGCTCGGGAAGAAATTCGGCGATGCACAACGAGAGCTTCAAGTTCACAAGAGCTGGGAGTTCTTCAAGTGTTTTCCCCACTTTTCGGGTCGCTATGGTGATGTGCTGACTGATGAGGAGAAACCCAGAACTAATCGGACTGCTCTCGACGTTGGTTGTTTCCGCTGGTTAGTGAACATCCGTGTTGGGTATCTCGTTCTCCGGATGAAGAATAATTGCCACATAGAGCCTTACCTTCCCTGCCGTTTTGCTCGTCAGTTCAGTTACGACCAACTATATGTTGGGAATCCGAGCCGTGGTTTGAAGGTTGAGGGGGGGCTTATTGATGGCGTACGAGCATGGCTATGGACTATAGTGGGCTGCACCGGAGCCCACTTTGCTCTTCCTTCATATAGGCGCAAGCCGATGATTACTTTCCTCAGTTGTAAGTGGTTCTTCTCCGCCAATGAATCCATAGGTGTGAGGAGTCTTTCAGAGTTAGAGTCTGAGTACTCGGTCCAGGTTGCTATGATGGCTGCTCGTAAAGCTGAGCTTGCTCAGAAACAGAAGAAGAAGTCTGCCAAACCTCCTCTCTCAAGCAAAGACGATGAAGAGCTCCTTCCTACTGACGATGATGACGAGACTTCTGAGGAGGAGTATGTGGATATAGATATCGACGAAGAAGAACTTGATGCATGTTTGTCATACTCTTTGATCCTCTTTCTCAATTTCAATTGATATCCACGAAAGATCTGGTTCATTTAATGAAATAATCCCTATCATTTCAGGTAGGACAGCCGACGACCATGAGCCGCTCGCTTCCCGTCGTGCGAGATTCAGGCCTGGTGGCCAAGCTCCTACCCAGGTTGATACACGTGGCCAGTCCACGCACGAACGACCCGTTGGTTCTATGAGGGGTGATATTCCGAAAAAGAAAAAAATCGCTCATAAACCACACGTTGGTCAGCGCTCCTATGAAGTGGATTTAGGAGACTTCGCCGACAGGGAGGAAGGTAATACTTCGTCGTTTTCATTGCTTTAAGATGACTTACCTTCTGGGATTCGTAATCATGTTTTATGTTCCAGGGTTCTTTGAAGAGGGCGAACTCCCATTGTCTCCCGTATTCACTGGTTCTGATAATATGGATAGCTTCATGGAGCAGATGTGCGACGCCCTTCGTGACGGTTCTCTGGGTATCATTGATCTTGGATAGGTGAATAGTGTTGAGCCCACCGTTCCATATTTAGGTATATCTACATCCGATGATACCCTCCTCAAACATGGGGAGAGAGAATCTTCTGTTCTTGCTGCAGGTATTTCTGAGCTTTCCCTTCTTCCTTATCTTCTTATACATATCTCCAACATTTAGGTTGTCCTGCAGATGTCGTGATGGAAAAGCCAGCTGAGGGTCAGATCTTTCATGATGTTGGCTTCAAGGAATAGAGGTGTGCCTCTGTACCAGGTTCCTCGGGACCCGACGCTGGATTATTAGCCGATATGTTGGCTGAGCAGGCCACCAGAAGAACCGTGGGACCACCCTTTGAGAGTGATTCATTCATAGGTATATATCTGATTCCCTTCATCTTGCCTGATATTTTGTCTCGGAGTGACGGACTTGCAGGTACGCATACGATTTAGGGACATCGTACTCCTCTTTATTTATCTGACTTTTGACTAATATATGAGTGCAATCATAGGACCAGCCACCGGGACTGATACTCTTATGACTCCTGGCATTCCCCGGATACCTGAGGATGATGGACCTATAGGTATGCAGATGACCTTATCATCCCGATCCTCCTTATTTGTCTAAATTTTCATTTTGACTAATAAAGAAGTGCAACCATAGGATCAGCCGTTGTGCCTGATGCCACTATAGTTTCTGGGGCTGATAGTTTGCCTGAGAGCGGTGTTTCCCCGCCACAGCCGAGAGGTATGACTGATTTGCCTACAGGGGTTGATATACCCTCCATGACTACTCATGTAGTTATTTTGGAACCTGTCGGATTTCAGCCTGAGGGGACCTCCGTTGGCCTTGGTATGCTCGGAATTTTCCTTTAAATTTTCTTATCGTGTTCGATAATCTCTTAGCTTTCCACACTGTTTCTTGTAGGATCTCGATCATCTCTATATGAGCGTGTCCGCGCCCTCTTGGCTGATACCGATCCCGATAAAGATATTTTTCGTACAGACCTCGGCCTTTTTACTGTCTTTTATAACGGCATGATCGAGAAACTTCTTCATCGAGGATACAGTTTTGATCAGTTCAGGCGTTCTTTTTCTCGTCATATGCCGATGTTCAGAGAAGAAGGGTATCCAGAGTTGGCCGATTCCTTCACTGCCGATTTCACTGTTCTGGAGTCAGAGATCCGAGAGTTGAAGGAGTTGAAGGCTGGTAGAGCTTCTTCCTTCGTGTCCTCTCAGATGGAGCATAGGCTGACACAGTGGCACGACCTGAGATCTTCCATCGGCAGCGAGCTTCGATCACATGAGCATTCTGTTGCGCAGCTGATGGCTACCGTGGCGAGGAAGGATACAGATAGGGCCGAGCTACTCCGCTCTTTGGATTCCGGCCGCGAGGAAGTGGCTAGGTTGAAGGAGGCCTTGAAGCACGCCGAGGAGTCCATTACTATCATTGCAGAAGACCTGGCTGGAGTAGAGCATTCTCGTGGACAGGCCCTCGAGAAGCTAGGATCCTAGAGACTCCGCATTTGCTTCTTTCATGATATTTCTTTATTTACTTTGAACCCAGCAATGATAAAATTTATAGGATTTTTGGCAAACCCCCAGCCCTTAACGGGTTTGATATGCCTTTACCGATTACCGTTTGAATCGGGCTAGCATGCAGATTGTCTAGATCCGTTCCATATGTAACGTTGTGCTAAGAGAATTGCTTTTCTTAGACTTAATGTTATGCCTTTAAATACATAGACTTCACCATTTCTTATAGGGAAAAGGTACCCCGCACCGCGTATTAGGCGATGACTTATCCCTTCTTAGGCTTCGGGATAAAATTCCCCAGGCATAGACCATGATGTCTTTTTCAATCGGCGAAAGACTAAACCGGCAATGCGTGTTAGACATAGACTTTGGGATTTTTAGCATGTCTTTTTCAATCGGCGAAAGACTAAACCGGCAATGCGTGTTAGACATAGACTTTGGGATTTTTAGCAAACCCCCAGCCATCAACGGGTTTGATGTGCCTTTACCGACTACCGTTTGAATCGGGCTAGCATGTGAATTGTCTAGATCCGTTCCACATGTAACGTTGTGCTAAGAGAATAAATTCTCTAAGACTTTGTGCTATGATGTCGAATACATAGGTTCCACCATTTATTATAGGGAAAAGGTACCCCGCACCGTGTATTAGGCGATGACTCATCCCTACTTAGGATTCGGGATGAAAGTCCCCAGAATTATACTCTGGTGTCTTTTTCAATCGGTGAAAGACTAACCGGCAACGCGTGTTAGGCGTAGACTTATCTCTATTTAGGAGTTGAGATAAAATTCCCCGTGCACAAAGTGCCCGGATTGGAAGTTGAGAATTGTGTCTTTTCTAAGAACAAAGACAGACTGGGAAATGGGAGAGGAAGAATTTTATATTCTATCTCCCAGTACTGAAGAGGAAGAATTTTATATTCTATCTACAGTCGGAAAGGAAACTCAAGGTGGGATCTCCACCCCCAGAATCCGAAAAGATGAAACTAAGAGTGGGATCTCCACTCCGAGAATCGGAAAAGTTCAAACGGCCCTAACTTTTATAGGATTGGTCATTTGAATCAAAAGAATCCATCATTCATTAAGGAGGAAGCCCAATTTCGACCCTAACTTTTATAGGTTTGGTGGAAAAAGGAACAAAGGCGGATTTTCGTTTATCGAAAAGGAATGACTCGGTCTTAGCCCTAACTATTTGTAGGCTTGACTAAGTGAGATCGGGAACAATCCTAACTTTTTATAAGTTTGACTGTTCAAATTGAAAGTGGACCTCTCGTTCATGGAAGGAATCGAGAGAGGGATTTGGCTTTGGCCCTAACTTTTATAGGTTTGACCCAGCAGGAGTTTGAGATGACCCTAACTCGATTTGAAAGTGGACCTCTCGTTTGAAGGAGGAATCGAGAGGGGATTTTGGCTTTGGCCCTAACTTTTATAGGTTTGACCAGAACGCAAAGAGAGTGGAATACGGGTAGCAAAGAAAGTGCCAACCCATATTACCACTCAAAGGGGGACAAGAAGAAACATTCCGACATTCAGAGTTCGAACGTGGATTTCTTATTCATCACTTCTACAGTGACTGGGTTATCCCTAAGAATACCCCATGTGGTATTCTTCTGGGAACTTCCCGATGCATTGGTTATCCTGAAGATACTAAGGATAGTATTTTTTTCAGGAATTTTCTGTTTATCGGCATCATAAGCCGGTCACCGTCCTTGGTGACAAGGCAATATGCGCCACTCGAGTAGACTGTCTTCACTACGAATGGTCCCTCCCATTTGGGTTCAAATTTGCCCTTCTTCTTGGAATTAAGGATCATAGGCCGTCTCTCAGCTAGAACCAAATCCCCTTCTTTGAAACTCCGTTGTCGAACCTTTTTGTCGAAAGCTCGAGAGATTCTGGCTTGGTAGAATTCGATATGCTGTTGAGCTTCTAAACGCTTCTCATCTAGCCTTTCCAATTCTTCAAGGCGCTTCTGATGTTGCTCTTCGGTCGTCATTTGAGTCGCGAGAGCGATCCGAAAAGATGGGATTTGAATCTCCAATGGAAGAACAGCTTCACATCCGTATACCAGTGAATACGGGGTTGCTCCCGTCGGTGTGCGCACCGTGGTCCGATAGGCCCATAGAGCCGTGCCAAGCTTGTCATCCCAGTCTCGTTTATTAGTTTTCACAAGTTTTGCCAAAACCTTTATAATAGTCTTGTTGAAGGCTTCGGCCAGTCCATTCGCTGTGGGATTATAAGCTGTCGAAGAGATGTCCTGAATTCTAAACTTTTCGCAAAACCTGATGAAGGCGTTGCTGACGAATTGAGGACCGTTGTCATGTACGATTCGTCTTGGTACACCATGCCGGTAGATGATATGGTGCTTGATGAATGCAATGACATTGCTCGTTTTAACTTCTCTGAGTGGAACTGCCTCAGCCCATTTGGAGAAGTAATCGGTAATCGCTAGGATGAACCGGTCACCTTTGACTGACGGGGGATTTATAGGACCAACAATGTCCACCCCCCAGGTCTCAAACGGACATGACGTAACCGAAGGATGCAGATGCTCCGGAGGTTGGTGCATGTAATTCGCATGTATTTGACATGCATCATACTTTCGGGCATACGTGATTGCATCACTCATCATGGAAGGCCAAAAATACCCCATTCTTCTGATGCGATCATAAAGCTTGGGGCCAGGTTGGTGTGCGCCACACTCTCCTTCATGCGCCTCCCTAAAAACTTCTTCAGTCTCTTTCGTCGATAAGCAACGCAATAGCAAACCATCGTACCCCCTGCGGTATAACGTTCGATTCTCCGTGTTATAGTAGAATCTCGGCGCTCTTCGTCGGATTGACTCTCTTTCTTTCATGTCTTCTGGTATAATTCCATGTAAGACGTAATCGATGATGGGGAAACGCCAATCTCGGGGTTCAAATTCAATTTGGGTTGAGTGTGTTTCCTTAATCTCTTCTTCTTCGCTATCTTCATTGTAGATCGGCACTAAAAGTTGGTGAGTCCTCACTGTAACAAACTGTTCTGTTTCGGGAGGTTGTGCCAGAGATACGGCCAATGCTGCTAACGCATCTGCATAGGTATTCTGTAGTCGTGGAATATGTTCGATAAAGAATCCTTCGAATAATTCTGCCATCTCTACTGCCATCTTATGGTATGGTATTAAATCTTGGCTTCGAACCTCGTACTCTCCCTGAACTTGTTTAACTATCAGTTGAGAATCGCCGAAGGCTTCGAGATACTCCACCCCCAGTTCTTTAGCAAAACTGAGTCCTATGAGTAATACATTATATTCGGCTACGTTATTTGAGCACGGTTCAGTCAACGAGTAAGCTCGAGGCATCACGTGTTTTCCCAGGGAAACTAAGACAACTCCCACTCCGGAAGAAATCTTAGAACTTCCAGGAGCACTTGCAACATTAGTTGCTCGCGAAGCGCCGTCGAAGTATAAACGCCATACTTGTTGGTGTGAAGTCGCGTTGACTTCATGGGTTTCATCCGGTAAGCCGTCATATATCTCGGCGGTATCCGTAGTAGGATTGTCTGCCAGGAGATCACAGATGGCCTGTCCTTTCACTGACTTCTGTTGTTTAAAGTGTAAGTCGTATTGGGACAAGAGTAAGGCCCATTTTGCTAATCGCCAGCTCATGGAAGCTGGTTGAGTCATGAATACTCAAATCGGATTAACTTTAGAGATGACATAAATGGTCTGCCCGACCAGATAATGCCGCATCTTCTGAATGGCGAACACCAAGGCGAGGCATTCTCTCTCAATCATAGGATATCGAGATTCGGCGCCTACCATGGTTCGGCTCAAATAATATACTGCCTGCTCATGACCGTTATCGTCATCTTGTGCAAGTAATGCACTTAATGAGTGGCTCGTCGCCTTGACATAAATCAAGAACGGTTTGCCCGATTTCGGTGCAACGAGTACAGGAGGTTTCGAGAGATATTCTTTAATACTCTCGAATGCTTTTTGACAAGCGTCGTCCCACACGAAAGATACGCCCTTCTTTGTGAGCTTGGAGAATGGTTGGCATTTTCCTGAGAGGTTCGAGATGAACCGACGAATATAAGCTAATCGCCCTTGCAATCCTCTGAGCTCCTTGAGGTTTCTCGGAGGCTGCAATTCATTAATCGCCTTTACCTTATCAGGATCGATGTGAATACCTTTGGTGGTGACGACGAATCCCAGGAATTTACCACTAGACATTCCGAGGAAAGACTTGGTAGGATTCATCTTCAATTGATGGGCTCGCATCAAGTCGAACATGGTCTTCAAGTCCTTAATGTGATCTTTTTTATCATGACTTTTCACGACCAAATCATCTACGTAGCATTCGACAGTCTTTCGGAGATGCTCCTGAAAGATTTTTGACATGGCTCCCTGATATGTAGCACCTGCATTCTTCAAGCCGAAGGGCATAACCGTGTAGCAGAAGACGCCGAGAGGCGTTCTAAATGCGGTATGCTTTTCATCATCTGGATGCATCTTTATTTGGTTATAACCAGAGAAACCATCCATAAAAGACATTCTCTCGAATCCGCACGTATTGTCAATGATAACATCCGTGATGGGAAGGGGAAAATCATCTTTTGGGCAAGCAGCGTTGAGGTCTCTAAAGTCAATACAAACCCTGATCTTCCCGTTCTTCTTAAGGACCAGGACAATATTGGCAAGCCATTCTGGATGTTGCTCCTCCCTAATGAAGCCCGAGTCGACAAGCTTTTTAACCTCAGCTTCGAGCGCCTCCATCATTTGCGGACGAAACCGTCTTTGTTGTTGTTTAATAGGTTTGACATCCGACTTAATATTAAGACGATGCACTGCTACGTTTGGATCGAGCCCTGGCATGTCTTCATAATTCCAGGCGAACACATCGATGTACTCCCTGATAAGAGAGATTAACTCTTCTTTCTCCTCGGGTAGGAGACTGTCGCTAATGAATATCGGCTTCGGATTTTCCTCACTTCCCATATTCACTTGGACTACTTGATCTTCGGTAGGAGGTTCTCTTTGTTCGAACCTATCACCATACT